ATATTTATTATAAAAAAAGATTTTTAACTCAATCATTACTTTATTATAATCGTTTACTTGATTGTCATTTTCAAAAGAAACCGTTCGATGAAACTATTATTGCAGAAATCTATGAAAAAATTGGAAAAATTTATTTAAAGAAAACGTATATTGCTGATAGTTTATTATATTATAGTAAATTAAATAATAAATCATTGAGTAAAAAATTTGAAGATATAAATGATGTTTGTTTTGAAAAACGTCATTTAGATAATGCATTGAATTATTTTGAAAAAGATCTGAAACAACAAATTGAAAATAATTCTACTAATGATACATTATTAAGTGAAACGTATACAATCTTAGGAAACATTTGTTTAGAACAACGAAATCTTGACAAAGCATTACATTATTTTCTTAAACTATTAGATACGAAATTAATGAATAAAACACCTGAAGATTCCTCACTATCAGAAATCTATGAAATAATTGCAATAATTCATTTAGAAAAAGCAAATTACAATAAATCATTAATTTATTTTAATCGATTTATGGATTGTGAATTATTAACTAAATCATTTGATCATCCTTTAATTGGTAATGTTTATAAAACAATTGGAAGAATTTATTTAAGAAAGGATCCTTTTGATCAAACAACAAATTATTTATTAAAAAATCAAACATTAGATTCGAAAGTAAATTTAACAAATATTCAACCTGATAAACGTCATTCTCAACGAACTACTCTTTATTTTTATAATTTATTAAAAAAACAGATTAATAATAATAAAATATCAATAGATTTTACAATAGAACAAATTTATACAATTATGGGAAATTTATTTTTAGAACAACAAAATACAAATCAAGCTTTAACATATTATTATCAATTACTTTATTATCAATATAAAACAAATCGTTATAAATATTTCGCATTAGGTCAAACATATGAAATTATTGCTAATATTTGTTATAAAAAACAAGATCTTAAATCAGCTTTACAATACTATCGACAAGCACTAACTTTATATCAACAAACTTTTCCAAGAAATCAACATTTAATTAACCAAATTAAAAATCAAATTCGATCAATTATCACACCTGTTGTTTAACATGATCTTTTTAATCGTAAACAAAATTATTTATTTTTACATACACAAGAAATGGAAATTGTTGTAAATTTCAATATAGAATAAAAATCCTCTGACAATTAATTCTTCTATAAATTTATGAATTTTACAACTAATTATAATATTATATATGAACTTCATTTCATATATTCTTTTATGTTTTTTTTCTATTTATCTATTTAATATTAATTAAATAAATATTCAAGAAGATCTTTTAATTGTATCGACTTTTTAGTCATCAGTATTTCATTGATTTTTAAATATTTTTTTTGTATTTGTCAACAATTATATCATATCTAATTCATAATTAACGATCGAATAGAACAAATCTAAACATAAAGTAATTAAAGAGAAAATCAATACCATATAAAAGAAATATTTACATGAAATAATCAAAATCTTTCTTTTTCAATTATTTTAGATTTATTATATGTTTTTAACGTGATAGATCATGAAAATATAAAAATAAATTATGATATTGACTTTGTAATCAATATTGTAAATTCTTTTTTAAATTAATCTTTATTTTGATTGGGAGTGCCTGAACTGTAACCATATAGATATAGATCTTTAATGAATTCATTTCATACTAATTCATTCCGAATTTGTTCCATAAAAATAATTTCCTTTGAAATTTCTCTTTAACTAATTATAATTATTATTCAATTAACAACTTAACTATTTCATCGATATATAAAAGATGTGCACATATACTATTGATAGCATGAATTTTAAATTGAACAACATCTCTTCATTATATGAAAGACATAGGTATATGTATCTATATCTTTTCTTTTCTCAACGTTCACGTATTTTCATTTTCGATCGCTTCTTCTGCTGTTGTTTAGATATTTTTTCTCAATGAGCCATGTTCACAATTCGCTTATAAGCCAGTCGACAGCAAAATTGTACCTTAAGAGAGAGAGAGATAATATCGTCATACTCTCTTTTATCTCCTATTATCTTTGATCTATTCTCATCCTTTTCAATCAACAAAAATAATCAAACTTATTGCAGAAAACATGAAAATGATCATTTTTATTTTTTCAATCATATAAAAAGTAAATTAATAAATAATTTCTTTACTCAAGATGATCACGATTCATATCTACTTTTTTACTGTATATCATGTTTACTTATTAGAGGAGTTTTTGAGCTATATTTGAAACAAATAGGAATGTAATTGACGGTATAGTATGGTTGAATTTGTTAATACTGGTAAACGTACTTCCAGTCGTAGTTGACTAGAGACTTTTTCACAAAGACAACTGTAACTTATCAGTAAGAATGAAATGATAAATTGTGATCATTTTCATATTTTCTGCAATAAGTTTGATTGTTTTTGTTGATTGAAAAGGATGAGAATAGAGCAAAGATAATAGAGGATAAAAAGAGTATGACGATATTATGTGTCAACCATGAGCAACTTCTTCACTCTGCAGTCGAAGAAAAAGATGAAGAGAGATAAGCCGCGTATACCAATATATTATCTCTCTCTCTTAAGGTACAATTTTGCTGTTGAGTAGCGTATAAGCGCGAATATGGCTCATTATGTTAAATTTTCCATATCTTATTTGCATAGAAAACCATTTTTTGTGAAACACGATCTAAAAGGAGTATTGAAGTGTTAGGAATAGAAACTTACACTCACTCTCGTTCACAGTCGTGACAAACATTTTATTAATTAAGACTTGTGCCAATCGAGAATAATCCATTTGATTGTATAGAGATAATTATTTTTATAATTAAGAAATCATTTTATTGTTTTAATCAAGTTGCAACTTCTTTGTTTTTCAAACAAAAAGCTAAGAATTGAAAAAAAGTTTATTATTTTAAATAAATCAAATCAAATCTTGATAGATTAAATATTTGTACAAGTAACGTTTTTTTGAGGACTCGCTTAGCTCTCTTTCTCATAAAAATCGTGCGTGCTGTTCCTATCTCTCACCCACCCCTGATTAACTTTGGTCACACTTTATGGGAGATAAACTCTTTTCTTTCGATACAATTATTGAACCAATCAGTGAAGTGCGGACACACAAGTGAGCACGCACGCAATCAAGCAGACAATTTATATTTGTAAGATTGTTCACTAGGAGAAAGAGAATATAAATCGAAATATTTTCTTATGATTTATTGATTATGATCAGAATATCGTTTAAGTATTAGATACGATATATATGTACTTGAAATAAAATCAATTTTTCAAGATCAGACACATTAATTATATGTTAAAACATATATATATATAATTTGTAAATGAATAAATGTATACATTTGATTTTTGATAAATGTTATACGATGTCAATTAATCTGAACATGAAAAATACATGTCTCTCTTTTCGTGTTAATTAAAATCATAAAATATACATGGATATATTTACGTGATATTACCTATGAATTAATTATTTAATTAAAACATATTTAATAAAATCTATAGAAATATGTATATTGTTTCGATTTTTTTTAACGATAAAATAATAAATGAAATAAAATAAAAAAAATTCCACTTGAAACATTTATTAAATAATAAAATCGATCTATTATCTCATTGGTTATTTCTTAATTCGTGTACTATAATTAAATCTTGAATTATCCTTTAGTTAATTCATTGCTAATTTTATTTAAATAAATGGATTAGAAAATTCTATTATGAAGAATGAATATTAACCATTGTTACAAAGTCATTGATACGTCAAGATATTTTATCTATTTCTTTCTCTTTCGTCTTCTTTTCTCTATCATATATATTATTCTCTATTGTCTATCGTTAATCATAACATATCTTCTCATTTATTCTTTTATTTATCTGATGAAATACTTTCATTTATAGAACTGCTCCTCCATTCTATCTATCCAACTGATTTTCTTTTAAATCAAATCTTTTATATAGCTAGATTTCTTTCGAATATAATTTACTCTATGATCACTAAAACTGAACTACCCTTTTTCAATTTCATACGTTATTATATATAAAGAAAATGAAACTACGTAGTAATAAAAATTTTACTCAGTTCTTCGAGTTGTTAAAACAGAATATAAAATAATAAATCTATTTTCTAAAATTCGATATGAGAATTATTTTATTTTGATCTTGTTTCTTTGATAAGAAATTATTTTTCCCTTTTTTCCTTCTTCTTACTCTTATGTATTTAATCAAGATGAAAATAATTTCTTCTTTTTCGTTAACCTTCATCTCAATTTTTTTTCAAAATCTAAATATTTATTAAATATCGATTGATTAGAATATATGATTAAACTATTATTTCTAAGTGCCTTTTTTTATTTAATGAGAATAACATATTTAGATTTAGATTTAGATTAATATAATAAATATATTTATTTATATTTTATCTATATGAATATAGAAAAGTAAATGAAGCAAAGTTATATAAAGATATTTCCTAGTATATTTTTTCAAGTAACTCTATTTTAAGTTTACGGTAGGTTATCATTTCCTACAAATTGTCTTTCTCTCAATCGATCTCCAAATCAGCTTCCTATTTAAATAGGAAGTTGATTTCGGGAAAGAGAATTTGTAGAAAATGATAAACATTTGATTTTCGAGATATTTATCATTTGTTATTTCTAATGATAAACATTTAATATTATTTCTCTAGTTTTTATTTATTTATTTAATGAATTAAAATAGATAAATAAAGAATTAATTAATCAATAAAATAAATGTCAGAAAATCCCGAAAAAAATGAAAAGAAAAGTGAATTTCTTCCACGAAATGAAATTGAAGATCCAATGGGTATCAATGTTTATTCATCGAAAGATAATGAAAGTATGCATAAATCATTAAATGGACATTTTATTCTTTATCAATTACTTATTCAATGTTTATTTGATGAAACAAATCCATTACCATTTGAAAAATCATCAATATTAAAATATTTTCAACCAGTTAATAAAATTGATAAAAAACAAATGAAAGAATTTGATAAAAAATATGAATCAACAAAAGCAATTCAGTGGTATACAAAACAATCTTCGATTTATAAAATATTAAATAAAGCATTAAGAACACAAAATATTGATGA